TAAATGACAAAAAATCTTGAAATGATTTTGCTGATTCGTTTTCGAGTTTTATTATGTGAATTTTTTCTTCTTGTTGTTCTTGTTGCTGCTGTTGTCGTCTTGTTGATAATGTCGATGATGTTGAAGAGCCACATAAAAACATTTTTTCGAAAACTTTTGATGCAAGTGATAAAATACTTATATGTAACTGAAATGATGTATCCTCGACTGTTAATATAACATCTCCATCACTATAACTATGTATTTTACATGGCTTTGTCATTTTTTTTTTTTTGCAATAAAGATTTTAATTTTGTGCAATTGGTTTGTTGATCTTCTCCATGTGGACAAAAAAAAGGTTTAGGAAAGTGGCGTTATATTAATTAAAAATAACAACATAATAATAATAATGATGATGATGATGATGATGATGATGATTGATAATCCAAGAAGAAATAGAGAAAATATATCACAAAATGAATTAAATTAAAAAAAGAGAATAATACAATAAAAAATAAAAAAAAGGAGAAAGTATCTCTACTTCAAGCTGGATAAATTGGGTAGATTCTTGGAAACCAAGAAATGGGCAGCGTTAAAAATTCAACCGCAAACTAGTACAAATTTGGAAACTATCTGCAGAATTCTATTTAAGTGTAACGTAATACGCGGACGTTCCGGGCATTGAATTTTATATACTAATACTGGAAATGATCCTCCAATTCAAAAGGAGATTTTGTACGATGTCAAGTGAATGCACCCTCCATAAATGCACACCCCCATACTCTGCGCCGCATAGCAAAAATAACAAAATAGGGTCCAACTTGACATAGAATCAATTTTGCGAGGTGCATCATAACCTTCACAGAAAAGAGAAAACATCATTCATGAAGCATGAATTCAAACAATCTTTTAATGATCATGATAATAGATCACTCATGGAATTTTTTCGAGGCATTGCCATAATCCATGCATTATGGCAAAAGTTATTTAATAAAATTCGAAACTTTCGAAAAAATCACAAGTTTTCGAAATTGAAATACCTTGGCATAATCCATAAGTTTTAATAAATATTCTTTATTGTTGAGGTTAATGTCACATAATTATAAATGGATCTACAGCTGGATCAGCAGCCCATCTGTCCAATGCTAAAAATCAAGAAGAAAAATGGTTAACCATTTTTATGGATAAATAAAATAGAATAAATAGATAATAAATTCACCTAAATTCATATGATTTTGTCTCCTACGCCTGGTAAGTAATTTATATCCAGGTTTTAATTGATTGACAAGCTCCACAAAAAAAGGGTTTTCTATAAGTGAAAATGAAAGTCCACAACAAATAAACATCTATGTCAACGTTTAATCAATTTATTTTGGTTTTTGACTATATAGAATCAACGTAAGCACTCGTATTCTTTGTTGTTGATTAATATCAGCTCGTTTTTTTTTGTCGTTTTCTATTTGTGTTGGATGAATTAAATGAATTTACAGAATTAGAATCACTTGATGAACCTTGTTCTAGATGGTGTCTATTCAATACAATTTCTAGATAAATGTTTTTGACTTCAACAGGTACATTCGCACAATTATTAGCTAAATGTTCTTCAATAAATATTTACAACTTGCGTCATATTTTACAGGAAATCTTTCATTTCCTTTATCAAAATAATGCCATACATCATTCGGTGGTCTTCTGGTCTGATAAATAAAGATATCGGGTTCTAGGATTATTATTATTATTTAAAGACATGAATACAAAAATGCAAAAAAGTTATTTCGATTTTTCGATTTTCTCGAATTTATATTTAGATTTTTTCGAAACCTGTTAATATTAGGGTATATTAATATTAAACAAACCTATTTCGCCATCATGTATGCCATAATCTTTTATTTAATATTGTTATTCTATTATTTTTCATGTAATCCATGGTTATTTTTTTTTTTTTAAATATGTAAAAAAAAAAAATAATGATCTGCATAAAACCTTTTAATACATGGCGTTAATATACATAATTATAATTTCTTTATTGTGAGAGGTAACCTAAAAAGTATATTTGTCGTGTTGGTAATTGGTTCACAACATATTTGTAAGTCCAGAAGCTGCTCCTTGGCTTCTTTTGGGACCAGATGTTCAAGAAGCTTTATATTTTTTTTTAACAATTAACTACAAGAATAATAAATAAGTTTAGAATATCAATAAAATTACAAAAAAGCAATAAAGAATAGTGCTTACTTTTGCTTTCAGTGTCATTGCTAATACATTAAATCAAATGATGACAAGTGGCAATGATCTGGTGATATTGTTAAAGCGTCATTATTCTAATTTAACCAATTAGAAATTGATTAAAGTCTATTATAAAAATGTGTTGGGATGCCCCAACATTTAGTATTGTGGAGAACTTTACCTTCATAGACTAAAGATTTTTTCTTTTAATTTTGCGTGTGTTGGAAATTGGACTAATTAATACCCAACCTAAATGTTCAGTATTACCATGCACCATATTCATTTGTGTTTCTGAAGCAATTATAAAAAAAAAGTGAAGATAATATTGGTTAGTGAAGCTAGAATGACGGCATGTTGCAAGGATCGCACCATGTTTTTAATAACTAACTAGAGTGACGACGGGTGGTGATAGCCACATTTTTATGATAAACACTTACCCAGAGATATTGGGAACAACAAATTCTTAACTTCGCTTCTCTATTGGCATTTTTATTTTTATTTTTTTAAAAGAAGACGCGTCAAAAAGATTTTATACATATATGGGTTCTCTAGCATAATATAATTTATATTATAAGGATTATAACTGGTAAAAAAAAATCACAGACACTTGGTGTTGCACAAAGATTTTTTTCTGGAAAAAAAATTTTATTTTGACAGCATAGATGACAAAACGCGAGTGATGTCGTTTGGTATGGTTTGGTTCTGAAGCAGGTGTATTGTTTAAAGGTACTTTTTTAATTTGCATTAATATGTCTTTTGTTTAATATAAATGTATATTATTGAAATCAAAGACATGGGCAGATCTCACTGTTAATTATAAGATTCTTGATAATGATAAATGAACGATTGGTATTTCGCTTTTCGTAATTGTAATCAATAAAATATTAATATAATTAATTACAAGATGTCAAGGCGGCACAGCTAAAACAATTCAAATATAAAACAATTCGATATGCAACGTTTGATAATCAGAAATTTACAGATACACGTCACCTTGAACACGCACGCTCATGCCCGCCTCCCTCGTGCACACCAGGCTGACGCGACCAGGGGGCCCTGATGCTACGAGGATCCTTTTAATTTTTTGGGGGGGGGGGGGGGACGTGAGACTGCATCAATCGCCAACGACACTTTCATTAATCTTTCCCCATAGCACCCAGACCCAGAGAATGACGATCCCTAGGGTAAGGATGGCACTGCGATGGAGAAACTCTGCAGCATTTCGAAGAGTTGTAATATTAGGTTTGCATAAACATCCAGATCCATCAAAGCAACAAGAATCTGCAACTCGTTTCAAGCACAGGGAGGAAAGCTGTAAAATAAAATGGTTCAGAATTTGTTTGGTATGTTATGTGTAAATTAATCATTTTCATAAATTTTCTGTTTCTTTAATTATTATTTAATCAACTGAATTTGTTATTTATAGAGGGTTATTGGTGTGTAGGCATGTCACCAACATGACAGCAACCCAAGACTCAAAACTCTGAATTCAGGGAAAATTCAAACAACAACCCAGTTTTCAACCTCATGAGTTGGCGAATTTTCAAAACCTCTACAGGTCGGGATAACAGCAATCATCACACAAAATGCTCAAGTTACTGTTACTCGTAATCGAGAAAGCTGATCCTCATCAGTGATCAATGCCCATATGGAAACAGTCAGCCTGGTTTGAGAGGAAGATAAAGATCACATGCTGAACATAGTAGAGACTTTGACAGACTCTAGACAGATTTTATTTCAAAGAGCCAGAATTCAATTTCGATAAATTCAGAGCTCACCATGCCACCATGAATTTTCTCCATTGTATCATATCTTTCATGCCATAAGGTCATCATTAACCTTTTTCAAAAGAGGGAATGATATAAAATTTGACATTTGTGTATTGATAAATAAATTTATCATTTTCTCTGAACTTCAAGTTTCTGATAATTTGTATTGAACATTTTTATCAAACATTCATTTCTTCTTTGGTTTCTTCACCATCATCTTCCTCTCTTATCATTATCATTCTCCATCCTAAGCAAATAAACAAATCAGGAAATTAAATCTTGCATAAATTTTAAACTAGACTTGAACCAATGGTTTCTAACATTGCCCACCCATCACCTTGTTTGTGTTTCTATTCTGCCGGACTTTGATTTTCTTTTGTATTGACTCTTTTTTTAGTAGAGATCATACCACTGAATATTCATTCATTTTGTATTCATTCAATTAATAAGTTCAATATTCAGATAATCACTTGAAATATTCAGATTTTCATTTGATCTTAAATTAATTATTTGAATGATTATATTCATTATAATAAAACATTTTAATTTTACATTCTATCAAAGTTATTGATAATTTTTTTTTTTTCAAATAAAACAATCTTTTCAAATAAAAGTGGATCAAGTTTTGTTCTTTTCGAGGTCATTGTATTTTCAATAAGTGCATGGTATAGTTAGATGCAATAGATTCATCATCAGAAACTTCAGAGACATTAACTCAACAAATGGATCCTTTAGATTTTTCTCCGTCATCTTTTACAATTTCAGCCTCTTCACCAAATTCCATATACAACTTCTTTTCTTCAAAATATGAGCAACAATTAATTTAAGAATGCGAGAAAATTCATTCAATTCGGTCACACAAACATTGATTATCAGTAGTTATTCACCCACTTTTTTTTAAAATGTTCAATGAATTCATTGCACAAACTCTATTTTTTTTAGATATAACACAAATATTAATGTATTCATTTAAGGAGGTAATATTATACAAAGAAACCTTTTCTTTTTTTGGAATATTAAAAAATTATATATATAAAAGGTAAGTAATATAACATTTTAATTATTTTAATTAAAAAAAGATTTAAATGGAATGGGGTCAAATTTATTAAGGAAAAGATTAAGGGATCATCAGGGGTGGAAATGGTGATAAATTTTATTTAAATAAAAATTCATTAAAAATGACATAAATTCATTTATGTATGGCAAAATATGGTTAGGAACATAATAAATTTTTTTTTTGAGTAACGATCCCTGCAAATATCAAAGTCTGCAAACATATGCAAAAAAAACT